TTAACAATCACCTTGGTACCATCCTGCCTGCTTTACTTTCTGCAATGGGTGGTAATGACATGGTACACATTATTCCTAATCCATCCTCCTTTGTAGTTCTTATTGTGAATTTCAAATGTGATTTGACTTTTTTATTCACATTCAATTGTTATGAAGCATATAAAAGCTTTTAACTCGATGGCATCTACTGCCTGCTCTTTATGGATTTTTCAGGAAGTTCAACCTCTGGCTAAGGAAGCCGCAGAAACAGCGGTCCTGGTCATTGATGAGGAGGGCATTGAATCATTAATATCAGAGCTTCTTAAAGGAGTTGGTGATAGTGAGGTTCGTCTCTAAGGCTCTCCATCTTTGATTGACACACACATACGATTACTTTTGGTTCAAGTTTCAATTAGAAAGTTCATCTTATTTGATCGACTGACAGACATGCGATTGCTTTTGGTGGTTTCAGGCATCAATTAGGAGAAGTTCATCATATTTGATTGGATACTTCTTCAAAAACAGCAAACTTTATCTAGTTGATGAAGCTCCAAACATGATATCTACCTTAATTATTTTGCTTAGTGATACTGATTCTGCCACTGTTGCTGTATGTTATGAGCTATTCCTTGTTGTTTGTCGTTCATTTATAGCCATGCCACTACCTTGCATCTCATGTTTGGTTTGACAGGTTGCATGGGAAGCTTTATCAATGGTTGTCAACTCAGTTCCAAAAGAGATGCTTCCTTCGTATATAAAGTTGGTACGTGATGCTGTATCTACTGCAAGAGATAAGGAGCGCAGAAGAAAGAAGGTGAGTTCTTGCTGTTCTCACACGGATGCTGTTTATAAGATGTGAATGTTGTGTTGAAAACTAAGAAATATGAACATCTCTTGCTTTTTGTTTAATCCACTTCCAGGGAGGCCCTGTTGTCATTCCTGGATTCTCTCTTCCAAAAGCGCTTCAACCACTGCTTCCAATATTTCTTCAGGTATTCCTTCTTTTCATCTCTGTAATGTGTGTTGTCATCACCTCATGTTGATACCTGAAAATGTTGGAATAGTTCTCAAATATTCGATGTAAATTAGTGCTGGTATTCCTTCTTGATCATCATCTCTATGGCTGGAACTTTCAAGCTCATTTCTTTCTTCATTCACATATATTATGGATGGATGAAAGAAATATTGAGAAAATAATTTCTACGACAATTACCATCATAAATACCACTAATGGATATGGCAAATGTGTTGTGTTCTCTATCCTACAATCACTTTAGAATTTGTCTTCAGCATCTTACATGTAATGTTCTTTTTGCATGTTGAAATCATAGAAAGTTGGAATTATGCTTATATTGCAAGGCAGTTGCTAGCTTGAGTATTCTTTCCTTTTTGAGTTCACTTTTGTTTCAATAGTGAATACAATTAATTAAACTGTCTTCTCTGGAACTTTCTTTGTGAATCCATTAAATATATTCTTTGTTTTGGCCTGTTACTTGATACCTATTTTCCTTTGACCGGTCTATATGAAATTAATAATTTATTCCTGATTGTATCTGCAGGGTCTGATTAGTGGTTCAGCTGAACTAAGAGAGCAGGCAGCCCTAGGTCTTGGGGAACTTATAGAAGTGACTAGTGAGCAATCACTGAAGCAATTTGTCATTCCGATAACTGGGTATGCACTCTAAGAAACCGACGGGTTTAAATAACTAAAAAAGATGTCACAAAGAAAGTCAAGCACAAATGAACTGCCAAAATTGTTTGCAAAACAATGTTTTGATGACTGTTCAGCCTGGCTTGGTTCCCTTATGATGCACCAAAGCCTGGTTTTGACTGAGGTTGTCTCCATGGATTCAATCCTTCTGTTGGAGTAGCTAACTTCTATATCTCTATTGGCCAGAGAGGGAAGTTAATAATATATTCTATGCCTGGATAATGACCTCAACTTGGCTAATCTGATAGTGATAAGGAGGCATGTTTTGGTTTTTATGCAGTATGGAAGTAGCAGTGGCAGAAACATGGAACAAAAGATAAAATTGATATAAAGATGAATTTTTAAAAAATAGGTTTAAGGATTTAGAACCACCAACTTTCAGCATAATATGTATTCTTAAAGAGTCTTGAAGACTTTTGTACTAGGGTTTCATTCTTTAACCAGTGTAATCCTAGCCTTTCTATACTAATAAGCCCCATCATCCTACTTATCCGAACTTGTTAAAATATCAAATACATGATACTATTCCCGTTGTTGACTGCTATTCAGTGTTTTTTAGTCTGATGCATTTCTTTTTCCATTTTTTCTGTATCATAACTGCAGGCCACTTATTCGAATCATAGGTGATCGTTTTCCTTGGCAAGTCAAGAGTGCTATTTTATCTACATTGAGTATCATGATCCGAAAGGGTGGGATTGCACTGAAACCTTTTCTTCCTCAGCTGCAAACAACATTTATCAAGTGTCTGCAAGATAATACAAGGTCTTTTTGAAATCTGTAGTTGTCTCAACAGTACTGATATTCATTTATTTATTATAATTCTACTGTGTTTAGTTCTCCCTGGAGTTAATTGTATCCTTCCCTTTTATTTGCTTTCTTTTTTACTATGTGGTGTCAGCATGTTTCCGGGCTTGCTTGTTGCTTTTTGATTTCTCAATTGTTTGAATGCAGGACTGTTCGCTCAAGTGCTGCCTTCGCACTGGGTAAGCTTAGCGCATTGAGTAGCAGGGTTGACCCATTAGTCAGTGACCTCCTATCTAGTTTGCAGGTGATTTTTATCATTTGATCTCTGTATGGCTCATTATCTTATAGTTGGATGATATTAGTTATTAATATTTAATGTTCAGGCATCTGATTCTGGAGTAAGGGAGGCCATATTGACTGCTTTAAAAGGTGTTGTAAAGCATGCTGGTAAGAGTGTGAGCCCAGCTACTAGGACTCGTGTTTACACTCTTCTCAAGGATTTGATTCATCATGATGATGACCAAGTTCGAATGTTTGCTTCAAGCATACTGGGTATTATATCACAGGTACTTGACAGATTGAAACATTAGTCAAGTTTTATCCTTTTAATTTTACTGCTATTTGTTCTCACGGACAATGCCAGAAGATAATATGTACAATATTTTATGAGCTATTGATCAGTTTGCTTATTCTGAATCTATTTTGGTTTTCTTCAATTGTCTCTGACTTTTCTTTAAATAATGGTACTGCAGTATATGGAAGAATTTGAGCTGTCAGACCTTCTTCAAGAACTTCTAGAACTTTCCTCTTCTTCAAGCTGGGCTGACCGTCATGGTGCAGTTCTCATGTTCTCCTCCTTGCTCAGGCATAATCCTTCCACCATTTTTATGTCTCCAGAGTGCCCATCTATTTTACTCCGTCTCAAAAGCTTCTTGAAAGATGAAAAGGTTTTGCATTTCTAGCAGATTTTATTTCGTTATTTTTGCTTTTACCAATTTCTGACCCTTTCTTGTAAATAGTTCCCACTTCGTGAAGCTTCAACCAAGGCATTGGGGAGGTTTTTACTCTATCAAGTTCAAAGAGACCCCCTTAACTCCACTGCACTTGTGGATGTTCTTTCATCTGTACTGTCAGCATTGCGCGATGACTCCAGTGAAGTAAGGAGAAGGGCATTATCTGCTATAAAAGCAGCTTCCAAAGTATGTACACATGCGTCAACTATTAATGTCAAAACCATAACTGGCCTATTTCTTTATTTTGAGGATCATATTCAGCACCTGAAATGTGTCGACTCGTTACAGGCAAATCCATCGGGTATCATAACGCATCTGTCATTAATTGGCCCTGCACTTGCTGAATCTTTAAAGGACGGTAGCACCCCGGTTAGACTTGCTGCAGAAAGATGTGCTCTCCACAGCTTCCAGTTAACAAAGGGTATTTTTCCAGTAGAATCCCATGTTTAAGAGCTAGCTGCTGCTTCTCCTCAACCGCATCAGCTTTACAATAAAATTAGATGCAATTTTTCTTATTCCTCTTTTCCTTCTCCACCGAGTTGGTAGAAGCAAGAATAAACTTCGGCACTAAACGGTTCATTCTTGTAGGTACCGAAAATGTACAAGCTGCACAAAAATATATCACAGGCTTGGATGCTAGGCGCATAGCAAAGTTTCCCGAGCACAGGTCCCGCTAACATATACATATTACATATCACTCATTATTGTCGTTGCAACGTTGTTCATGTTTATTTATACAAATTTTCTTTTAAACCATTGTTATCTTAAACTTTTTTGCTGAATATGAAAATGCAGCGATGATAGTGATGAAAGTGAAGGAGAAGCAGCAAGTAGCTAAAGATATACCCCATTGATCCAAGTATCGTATGTTTTTTAAGGATCAAGAGCTGAATGGAAGTAACCAAAAATTCGATATCATTTGAAGGCTCTCCTGCCAACATATTTCCATGGCGCACATAGGTGTTTGTCCATAGGAAATACATATTGAATACAGAACAAGAGCCCTGTTTTTTCTCGAATGGGTCTATAATACCAGTGTAATTGCCACTATATATGATGATATAGATACCTAAAATTTCAGGCCTCATACATTTTTGTATTAAATTTTGTTGTTCATGATCTGGCCAAATTGTCACATTGAAAACAAGGTATCCAAATTTTGAGGGCGTTTTTATTCTAGTTTTTCTTCTTTCACAATTTGGCGCACCTTTTTTTTTTCCTAGTCTGTGTATGCCTTACAAGAGCCTGGTGGCTGAAGAGTTTTCTTTGTTATAAGTCCAATTTTAACTTATTTTTGTGGAAACTATAAGAAACAGTTTGGTTTTTTAGTAAATCTCATTCAATCTCGAATGAGTACAAGAGTCTTTTAAAGAAAATACAAGTTAGGACTCAGGTTTACAGCTCTTATCTAAAACCTAGGATAGATTTTGATCTAATCTTAAACTACTTTAACATATCCACGTGGTGGTGAATATGCGTTGTATAATCTCAGGTTAGATGTGAATTCATCAATGGTAGCTTTTGGTAGAGGGAGCACATCAACAGAAAAAAAATCAGTTTTGCAGACCTTCGTTGACCTCTTCTGAGATTAAGTGTTTATCAAGTTCAGCACGTTTTGTTCTATCATGGTGGATTGGATTCTTGGCAATCCTAATGGTAGATTGATTACCACTTAAGATTTCAAGCTTCTCCTCTCGGTGCAGCTGTAACTTCTCTAGTAATATTTTGAGCCATATTCTTTCGCAGATTCTAAGTGTTAATGCTCTATAATTTGCCTCAGCACTGTTTCTAGCCACATCAGTTTGCTTCTTGCTCCTCCAGGTCATAAGATTATCCCACACAAATGAGCAATAATCACTGATTGATCTTCTATTAGTTAGTTCTCCAACCCAACTTGTATCAGTAAACACCTTTACTGTTTTATTCTCAGGTTTTCTGAGAATAAAATCATGTCTCAGGGTCTTTTTCAAATACTTGAGTATATTGTATGCTACCTCAAGATGGTCCGCTCTTTGATCTGTCAAATGTTGACTGATTATGTTTACAGAGAAAGATGTGTCTTGCCTTGTAAGGGACAAATAAATCAATTTCCCAAACAAATCGTTCCTTATCAACCCGAGCTCCTAATTCCTCTTTTCGAAGCTGCAAGTTTATTTTCATTGGAGTATCTACAGGTTTGTACCCAACATTTCAGCCATAGAAAGAAAATCCAAGACATATTTTCTTTGATTTATAACGAGCCCCTTGTTTGATCTTACTACTTCCATGCCTAAGTAATATCTTAGGCTTACTAAATTTTTTGTTTCAAGCTCAAGGCCTAACAGTTATTTCAGTTTGTTAATTTCATTAATATCATCTACAGTTATGATGATATCATCCACATATACTATTAAAATAACCCTATTTTCTTAGGTTTACCTTAATAAATAGCGTGTGATCTCTTTTGTTTGTAACCATTTCTTACAATCAACTTAGTAAATCTCTCAAACCAGGCCCTTGGTAATTGTTTTATCCCATAAATGGATTTTTTCAGCTTGCAAACTTCTTGTTTCTTTAACTGTCCCTTCCTCCATGAAAGAACCTTCATACAAAATTATTCTTCCTAGCTGCATTCTTGATGTCTAGTTGGTAAAGTCCCAATCTTCATTTATAGCAAGACTAAGAACTCTCATTGTATTGAGTTTGGCAATCGTAGCAAAGGTTTCATTGTAGTTAATCCCGTATGTCTGTGTAAAGCTATTTGCCACAAACCTTGCTTTATACCTCTCAATTCTACCATCTGAGTTAACTGTAAATACCGACTTACACCCTACACGCTTCTTTTCTTGTTGCAAATCAATTATAGTCTAAGTCCCATTCTTTTCCAGTGCTTCAGTCTCTTCCTCCATTGCTTTCCTCTATTTGGGATTCTCAAGAGCTTCTTTATGGTTGCTAGAATCTATATTTCGTCCATACTAGATGTACACACTCTAAAAGAAGGTATCAAATTTCCATAAGCCATAAACTTTTGTATAGGGTGTTTTGTGCACTGTCTTACCCATTTTCTTTTATCAATAGGCAATTCAATATTATCTCAATTGGGAATAACAGCCTGAGACAACTCATTACCTACAACACCTTCCATTTTTGAAGAATGAAGAGGCAATTGGACTAGGTGATGGTTCTTAGCAAGAGTCAGACTATATGATGGCCTCTAGAACAGGTTTCTTCCTTCTTTTGTAGACATGAAGCTTTTTCCTCTCGCTTTGTGGAGGGACTAAGCGAGGATCTATTTGAGTTGTTTTAGGATTTGGTGAGGTTATGGCAGTTTATGTAGGGATGGATATGGAGCTGGTAGAGGTGCTGGTTCTGTTAATGGTATAGGGATCAAATGCATAGAATTTTCTAGTGCTGTTGATGGAAACAAAGGCTGCTGCAGTAAGTGTTGCTGTAAAGCTGATGAAGGCCAGAATCCACAAAAAGTCTCCCTTTAAATTCCAGTCTTGGAAAAGTAGGGTTCCTATTAAAAAAAAGTTACATACATAGAAATATAGGTTCTTTTAATAGTAGGAGAGAAACGTTTGTAAACCTTATTAAGTGAAGAATAACCTCAAAATATGCATTTAATGGTCCTAGGATCTAACTTAGACCGAGAGGGACTATAATTGTGGATAAAAACAGTGCAACCAAAGATTTTCAAAAGACTAGATGACATCTATTGAAAATCAGGATACCTTTGAAGAAAGACAAACTTAGGAGTTTGAAAGTTCAAGAATTCACTAGGCATCCTATTGATCAAGTAGGTTGCTGTTAAGAGATTTTGTCGATTCTTTCTTTTAGCCCGCCTATTTTATTGAGGGGTATCTACACAAGAACTAAGTTGGATAATGCCCTTTTCTTGAAGATAGGATCTTATGGTTTTAGTGAAGTACTCTCCCCCATTATCAGAGTGCAAGATCTAAATGCTGCTATGAAATTGAGTTTCTATCTGTGTGGAACCTTTTAAATATATGTTCAATTTTAGTTTTTTTTTTCATAAAAAAAGTCCATATGGTTATAGTGTGGTCATCTATGAATGATATAAATCATCTACAACCATTAATGTTTTTCACTTTAGAAGGACCCCAAATATCAATGTGTATAAGAGAGAAGGGTTTAAAAGGTTTATAAGGAGATGACAAGTAAGTGTTCTTTGTATGTTTGGCTAATTGATACTTACCACAACGGAAAAATTGTGACTTTTTATTAATAAACAAGTCTGGAAACAATTTTGTAAGGTATTAAAAGTTTGGATGTCCAAATCTAAAATGCCAAAGCATAACTTCATTGAATTTATTTGAAACAAAAGCTAGAACATGTTCTAAAAGAGATTGACTAGAACTAATCTTCTGTTCATGAAGAAGAAAGAGCCCACAATAAAGGTTAGCATTGCCAATCACCTTCCTCGAGCCACCATTGCATGTAATTCACAACATTTAGAACCAAATTTAGTAACACAATTTAGATCTTGAGATAATTTACTAAATGGGAGAAGATTGTATGCTAAATTTGGAACATAAAGAACATAGTGTAAAACTATATCCCATTGATCTTAAATTCTTAATAGAGCAACTGCCTGCAATTGGGGGAAGGGATGCATCAACCGTTTTTATAGAAGACTAAGAAGAAGTAGTCTGAAGAGTTTAAAAAAGACCCTTGTTTCCAGTCATATGATCATAGGCTCCAGAGTCTATTATCCATGCTTGTAAATCCTGACTAGCAACCATGACAGCAAAGAAAAAACCACCTTCATAAGCTGGTAGGGTAGGACTGGGGTTACCAGATGTGCCAGGTGCCTTCAACTGTCCAAACATCCTTTGAAGATCCTCAAATAGTCATTGGTGAAGCTGTCAAACCCTTCAGTAGTGACTAGATGAGATTGTGATTCTCTCTGCCCTTGTATTGATTAGGCTTCCATGGACTTTCCAACATTGATCTCTAACATGCCCCACCCTTTTGCAGTGAACACACCGGGGTTTGTATTTCCTTTGTTTTGGGGCTGCAGGGCAGAACTTTCAGACATGGAAAGGACAGGAAGCATCACAACCCAGCTGCTTTCTTCTCTTCTAACTATAGCAAAGCTCTCTCTCAGGGCTGGAAGAGGTTTAATGTTGAGAATTCATCCTTTAACCTCATCCAGATCTCTATTGAGCCTAAATAAAAACTGAAACACCAATTATTATTTGCATACATATCTACATGTTGTCAATACCTCAAAAGAGTGTTACAATAAGAAGTAACAGTCATCTCCTCTTGTCTAAGGGCATTTACCTTACTTTCAATGGCAAATAACTTAGCAATATTGTATGAACTGGAATAAGTTTTCTTAACAACCTTCCAAATCTCGACTGTTGTTACACAGATGAGAAAATTCTCACTAATGTTACAAATAATGTAGTTAATCAATCATGATATAATCAAATGATTCTCACTTAACCATGTTCTGTAGCATGCATTTTTAGAGTCTGGGGTAACCATCTCTTCAGTGAGGTAATCTTCTTTACCCCTTTTGGTGATGTAGTGCTTGACAGATTGAGACCATTGAATACAATTATGACCATTCAATTTATGGTGTGTGATTATTGGTTGAATTATTTTCAGTCTGTGGGATTGGTCATCTCAACAGGATTTGAGGAACATATCAAGAATCCTAAATTCATACCCATGTGGAAACTGATAAGAAATAGCTTTTTTCTTCAGTAAATCTCATTCATTCTCAAAAAGAATAAGAGTCCTTTAAAGACCATAATACAAGAAGTGTACCTAGGTTAGGACTCTTATAGCTTTACAACTATTATCTAAAACTTAGGATAGAATTTGATCTAATCTAAACTACTTTAACATATCCACATAAGAAGTAAACAGAAAATAAAACTCCTAATTTACATTAGGATCAGTTACTACTTATAATTTTGATACCTTTCAATGGATTAAAATGGTGGTAAAGGAATTGTTGTTATTCATTAAGGTTCAGAATTTGAGCACCATGAATGATGTCAGAGCGTGAGCGTTCAATGTCAAATGGTTGTAACAACCCATGACAAGCTGCATTGATGTATTTATACCTTTTGACATGTAGAGCATTCTCCAATTAACTGCTCGTAAGACCCTTTCGACATAGAAAACTATTCATCCTTGTCATTGTTGCAGCATCAATATCAGAATGCCTTCATATGGTTGAACTGTGAAAAATACTGAAGCAATGTCTTCTTCAACTTAGGATCGTTGCCATTAGCTTTCCAATCCTCTTTAGTTGATTACCCTGCGATGTATATTTAGGATAAGCATCTGGATTTTGTTGAATCAATTGAGGTAATTTAGAATCTCGTACCATAAAACCATGGTGAAAACATTGCACTCTTCAAGGTGAAATTCTTGAGAGTGGTCTACCACTACATGGTGAGCTCCTTTCCTGTATATTAAAGAAAAGTTATACTCCGTCGTTTTCTATGAAATCTAGGAGTAATTGTAACATCCGCAATACCGGGTTAGTGACCAAATTGTAAAGTTTCAGAATTTGGTGACTAAAGTAGAAGAATGAAAGAATTCAATGATTATTTGAATATATATATATATTGAAGGTTATTTGGTATTTATTAAAGGAAATTAAGGGTATTATGGTCATTTGACCAGAAAGATTTTTTATAATTTTTTTTAAAGGGTAATAAGCACGGAGGAAGAAGAGTCCAGAGCATTCTTCAGTCTTCTTCCTCCTCTCAACCGTGAAGTTTGGTATAAGGTAAGTGGGTCTTTAGTTGGTTAATTCTTTCGTTTTAAAGCTTGTTTTGATTCTTGGGATATTAAGAAAGATTAAGGAAAGCTTTAAGTGGCTTAAACCTCAAAGATTAACAAGTTATGAGAAATTAAGAAAAATGAGTTTTTAAGTGAATTTTTGATATGGAAGGAGTTAATAGATTGTGAAGTTGAATTTGACTTGTCAAGGATTAAATTAAGAGATATGAAGTGATAGAATGAGAATTAGAACACATTGAAAATTTGGTATGATTTTTGAATCTTATATGGAAGATAGAATTTTGAGTTTAAAGAAGTGATTATGGAGTAGAAATGAGTTTAAGTATGTGTATGAAAGTTAGGAATATTAAAGGGAATGAAGTATGATGTGTTGAGCTGAAAATGAAGGATTTTCGAGCTCAAAATATGATTTCTGGGCAAGGGGAATCGGTACCCATTCAAGGGGAACCGATACCCCTTCAAACGAACAAGAATTTCCAGTATGTCATGGGGGAACCGATACCCCCATAGGGGGGAACCGATTCCCCCTAAAGGAAAATTGGGAATATGGGTTTAATAAGTTAGTTTAAGTTGCTAGTATCCAATTACAAGGTGTAGGTACCTAATGATGGTCTCGAAATGTACATTTATGTAGATTCTACGCATAAAGCAATTCCGGAACGTTTGGCAAGTAAGATCGATCAAGGGAAAGATAAGAGATTGGAATTGGCTAGTGAGGCCAGGTGAGTGCATATTAGTTAGTTTATGGTGCTAAATGGAAACAAGACTTGTGACAAGTCTATTTCCTATGTTAGAATGCATGAATATATGATTATACGTATATGAATGACATGAATTGTATGTATGCATGAATATATGTGTTGACATGCTTTTGAATGTAATGTTATGAGAAGTATGTGCTATATAATGTATATATATAGACATATGTGAAACTGAACTATGTGACTGCATGAGAAAGATATGAGCCATATGACATGATATAGGTGAACATGAGAAAGCAAAGTATGAGATATAAACTATGTGATCATAGTAAAATATAATTATATTATTATATGATAAGTGAAATAAGCTGGATAATATTGATCTATAGGATGAAGTGAAAATAGTACACTAACTAGGGGATTTGAACATAAATGATAAGATGAACGTATAAGATAAGCTAGATGGGAAAGATTCATAGGTTTAAATAAAACTATAACACAGGGGTTGAATGATAGAAATTTGTGAAGTTATATGAGAAGATTATAAGAGTGATATGAAATTGAATTAAGTAACAGATTAGATTATATATAGAAATAATAGAAGTGAGATATGTTTATAAGTCTGCCCTAGATGAATACGAAATATAAGAGTGCTATATGATTTATATTAGGATAATCTTGAGGATATAGATATATAGATAGATATGAAATGAAATGAAATGAGTTATATGAATACACAATTATGTGATGAAATGGTGAATTACCTGAACATGTGAATATATATATATATATGTTTAAGAGAAGGCATAAGATTAAGATATAAGCAATATGACTTATAAGTATTGCTATTATAATGTTACATGATATGTTATGTATGTTAAAGGAATTATGTGATGGTATAAGAAATGCTATGAAATATATATATATGTGAAAACAAGTATAGGTTATGAGATAAGACTTATGACTATAAGCTACGTGAAAGTGTTCTAGGTGTTTCGATATATTATATGAAGTATATGATCTTATGTGAACAAGATATGATAAGTATGTTTATATGAATAAAGGTGATTGGGTGAGAAATGATAGAAATTATATGAAAACATGACATATGTGACATGTGAATTATATGGAAATGATCTACGTGCAAGTGAACTACGGGACTATGTGATCATATGAAAAGAAGTTATGTGATACGTGATATGTGAAAGTGAATTACAAGTTTATGTGAATATTTGAAATGAAATAAATGATAACGCCCATGTTATGTGTCATGAGAGCTAGGGGTATAGTTGGCATGCCAAGAGTCGAGGGTCTATTCGGTTCTTTAGGACATATGTATATTCTTTGGAACATGTGTGAAGTCTCGAAAGACACATACTTGATCCCTAGCATATGTATATGATTCTTAAGGAATTCTACGTGGTCCTTATGGACATCATTATATGGCACTACGGTGCAATTCTACGGGCACTTCGGTGCAATTCTACGGGCACTTCGGTGCATTTATACGAGCTGTGGTGACAGCATAGTGCACAACCTCTATAGACTCACATATCGATAGTTCTCACATATATACATGGGCTAATCCAGAAATATGAACAAATATAAGTTAGTGGTATGATAAATGCTATAGAAATGATATGATGTTGTGTGTGTATAGTGTTTGATTGAAATAGTATGTGATTATATGATAAACTGCTAATGATGAACTATGTGTATGCATGTATTTACTGCAATTAATCTTATATGATTTTATATGATATGAAAAATGCATGAAGTTGCTGTAACATGATAGAACAGAACATGCATGTATCAATATAGGTTTTAAAGTGCATTAAGTTGTTATGCCTCACTAAGTCTTCGACATAGCGTGTGATTGTTTCACACGTAGGTTTCGAGAAGAGAAAGGAGAGATGCGGAGCAAGACAGGTCAGTTTTCCTTACCAAAAGATCAGATCAGAAATATTTGACAAAGTATGTTTTTGGTTATGTATAAAGTGTTGGCATGTAATAAGTCATTAAGTACGAGCACTATGATAAAGTCTGTATTTTGTTTTAAATAAAGTTTTAAATTTCCCGGGATTTTTCTTAAGAGTCAAGGTTTGAAAAGTCAATGTGACACTTCGGACTCGTATCCGGGTCGGATACGGGTTGGGGGTGTTACATTTAATGGTATCAGAGCCATGTTTTAGCCGATTCTCGGCATAAACCGAAGTCCAAAGTGTCATAAAAGGTGTACATGCCAACATAGATTGAAAAATTTCTGATATGATAGTGTAAGGAATACGTTGTCTTGCTAATAAAATAAGAATAGTTTAATACAGTAGAAATCCGATCGTGATAATTTTGAAGTAAGTGAA